CTCCTGAGTGAGATCTATGCACCTATGAAGTTTCATGTTAATATCTCATAGGCTTTTGGAGTTATGCTCTGGACAAAAATCAATTTTGAAAAATAACAAAGGGCAATAACTCAAAAATCATGCAAGGTAGAGTTATCATTCTTGTGCACTGCACTCCTCCTCAATGTGGTCTATCCACCTATGAAGTTTCAAGTTGATAACTCAAATACTTTTAGAGATATGCTCCGGACACAAATGTCGGACGGAAGGACGGACGGACGGACGGAAGGACGGACGGACGGACGGACGGAGACTATTTCTATATCCTCCGCCGAAAATTTTCGGCGGGGGATAATAAACAAAATACAATATGGATATATTTGTTAACAATCCCAAACCCTAGTCTCTATCCCTAGTCTCCATGCATTCCTAATATTACCCGTCTCGATGCCTATCTATTATACTATGCTCGTATTTTCTATGCTTCTGTTTTATATATCTCCAAACAATTATCCAACAAATATCCTGCAGCCCGGTATACTTTCTACTATATAAAAACCTGCAATCCTCTCCGGTAGCGTTGCCCCCAAGAGAACACGGATTACAGAAATATATAGCAGGTATAACTTCAAAGCTCCAAGATTAGATGTTGTCAATCTGACTTCCACCAAAACAACCCAAAATCACCTTGAATACCTCTGCTTATATATGCTTTGCACAACAACGCCTCTTACGGCTATTTATGATTGGCTACTTAACTTACAATACAATTATACAGAAACGAGCACCTGCTAATAATGTTATATAGATTATATAGTCCGCATTACAAAAATGATGTCAATTAAAAGCGCAGTGTCCAACTGTAAAAAAGGTTGAACACTAAGCATGCGTATGCCTCAAAATAGTAGGGTAAAAACTTTTAATTTTTTTAGAAAGTCAGCAGCAATATTGCCATGACCCAAAATCTTATGAAGTTTGTATATCATTTTTCTATAGAAATTAAACAAACTAAGCCCTTGTCGGAAAATAAAAAAAATATCGCTATTGAATTTTAATCGAAATTACGTTTAAAAAAATTCATAAAAGTCTGGTGAATCTAATTTACTGAGATACGTAAACCACTCAAAGGCACATTATGCCTCAGAAATTCATATTTTCTTAATTCTTAAGAAATGTCAAATACGTGTTAAATTATGTTTATGTTTAAATAATGCATTAAGTGCATGTTTGATGTTAAACTGCTGAAAAAAGTAAGATAAAAACATGTCGTAAAGTTAGCAAAATGTAAACAAAGTAGTATATTGACTTCCTTACAAAAAACTATTAATTTACTATAATAATACCAAATGCTAGCAGAACTAAAGATAAAAAGATAGCTCATGTATATATATAGCAAATGAGTATTTTTAGAAACTGTAACAATATACAAATAAATAAACAGATTTTCTTAGAAATTAAAATGATATCACTTCTGGGGCATAATGGGCCTTTAAGATGATGCATGGGGTACATTATCATCTAAATGTGGATAATTTACTATACAAAATTGAAAGTCATCTCTCTTATCATAGATTCTGCTGTGAAAAATGTTGTTATTGACTTTAATATAAAGATCCAAAATGATGTAGTAAGAAACCAAACCATGATCCCAGGTTTAGAATTGGCTACGCCTCGATAGTAACAAGTTTATATAGACTTTGATAGGAAATCACATTTAGAATATACATTTCTTACAGATAAGATGTTTCGCCAGTGTCACTTTCCCGGTCATTGAAACTCGACTTTTTATCCAGCACTAAGTAAAGTGTAGCGCATTGCAAGTAAACAAAGCATACCCCTTGGTTCAAAATTAGCTTCGCCAGTTTACTTTGACTTATATAGGAAGCATTTAAATCTTCGTGTGTGAACAATCAAGGTCCACAGCTTAGTAATTAGCAGCATGTAGCATTACTAAATATAGTAGGAATCTAGCAGCTTGTAGCTTTGCTTAATATACCTTTCCTAAAGTAATAAGAATCATGGCCATTTGCAAAATGGCCCATCCAAAATGTAACTCAATGACATATCTCCGTTGGCGAGTTGTACAGGTCAAAACTCTTGCCCTTAACAACTATAGGTTTGAATCCCTTCGGGGATTTTTCATGAGGGAAATCAATCCAGCTAACGTACGGAAGATCGGTGGTTCTACTTAGGTGCCTGCTTGTGGCAGAATTTAAAGCACGAAGAGACAACCGAATTATCCTCTAATCTGTTGAGCTGAAAATTCATATTATTACTTTGCCGTGTCAACGTGTCTTAAACTTCAACCTAGCAAACAAACAGCTGATTTAAAAAATTACCAGTTTTAACTATTTTAGCTTTTGATCCGATATGAGCGATATAGACCTTTTGTTAAAAATATTAAAGTGACAAGTGAATAAAAAATAACATAATATTGCTAGTTGATATTTTTTTTAATTCAACACATCTAGGAAATAATAGTCAGTCAATATAATAATGTTTTAAATAAATTCAAGGACAATGTATTATATGCATGATATACTAACAGTAATGAACTGGTTTTTCTTAATACCACCTTTGTAAGAAAAGATTTGTTGCAATAGAATAAAATTATTTTTCTTCCCTAAACTTATACAGAAAATGACTTATTCAAAATGCAACTGTATAAATTTTAATACCAATGTGCGATTGGCTTGAAAAACATATTTTTTAGTCTTAAATTCATTGAAATCACATTATCATTATTATTCAGATATGAAAACTATCACAGTCTTTACTGAATTAAATGACACATTTCCCAATTGTGACATTATTGTTGATATAAAATGCATTTTTATGCCCAAAGGCATTTGATAATTTAACCATTTGTCCGTCTGTCCGTACGAGGTTTACCATAAACAGCATGTTGAATTTTTTTAAGTTCTACGTGTACTAATGGCTTTATAATTGACACACTTACTAATCAAGTAGATGATCTTGGCAAGTTACCATGGCTTTCATTTTTTCAAGTTATTGCTCTATTTTAGCAATTTGAAAAGATATGGTTAACCTAAACCGGCAAGTTGGATGAACCTTACACTTTGCTGTACTAAAAGTTTAATAATATTCGCACTTACATATCAATGCAAAGTATGTGAATTGATATTGCCTTTTTATATAACTGTGCCATCCATTTTTTTCAGTTATTTCTCTTTTTACGACTTTAAAAATAGTGCCTTGTCTGGTTCACGTATTCCGGCAAGTTCGATTTATCTTGAATTTCTCCCAAATACTTCAATTTTTCAATAAGGATGATAGGTGGATACCAGATACGTCCAATGGTCCTTTAACTTTTGAGCTAAGTGGTCAAGATTGTGGTTTTCTATTGACATATGTCTTTTTTAAATTTGGTTGAAACATAAATTGAGAATTCTTTTATCATAGGGCTAAGTTAAATAATGGTCACCAGTGCTAAGATAAATTTTTACACTTTGGCTCAATAGCCTTAATTTACTGACAGATGTCTTTCATATTTGATAGGATGATAACTTGCATAATATCCTTTTCCTTTGGATTCAGTTAGACGTAAGTTCGGTCAAGTCTACAGTGCCAAAAGAAGATTTATATATTCAGGTAAAACCTTTTCTTATTGACAAATGTCTTTTATGATTGGTAGGGATATAAATTGAAGGGTCGACTCTCTTAGGAGTTATGGGTCAGTTAGATCAAGGTCACCAGTGCTAAAAAAGATGTTTACAATTTTGACGATACAACTTTTATTCATTTACAGATATCTTTCATATTTGGTAGGAAGATAACTTTCAACGTCTTCTGCCTTTGGATTGAGTTAGAGATCGGTGGGTTAAAATGTCATTTATATATTCTTACACATTTGCTGGTACACCCTTTCTTTATTGACGGATGATAAGCATATAAGATAGGATGATTCCTTGCATGGTATTCTTCCTTTGAATTGAGTTAGGGTTCATTTGGGTCAAGGTCACCAGTGCTTAAAATAGATTTTTAATCTTTTGTCCATATAGTCTTAATTTATAGGTATATGTCTTTCATTTTTGATATGTTTGGAGTCACTGGGTTGAAGGTTATGTCATGCATTTACATATATTTGATAATTCTTTTTTGTAAATTGAATATTTTTTCAACTTCATCAAACAGCAATTGACATGCCAACTTATATGTTCACAATAACAGAACGTCATGACTCTGTAAAGCTATTTAACTATGTTTACATTTATTGTCAATTGTTCTGTCCATAACTGAGTGATTCGGTAAAATTGTTACTGATAACAATCTGGGCTGGGGGTGGGGGGCATTTGTGTTTTTCAAACACGTTATTGTTTCTAATTATAATTATACTTTAGAAAACCTGTAAGACGTGAACTTCATATGATTGAAGTTAATCATAATTGAAACAATTTTTAAACAAACGGGGTCAGGGTATTAATTTTCAGTTATTTGCCCCTAAAAGTGTATGCATTTTAAATATTTCTTTCTTAAAATTGAAGATGTGAATTTTAAGGTATTGGATGCCTAATGCTGTATCTCCTTTCTGAGGGTTCTCATTTTCAGTTAGGAGACAGACTTTTAATAGGGCTTAGGTTCAAACCCAAGAAGATGCAAAAAAATCTATTTTTTTCTCTTTTAGTTTATTCAAATTAATATTTTCTTTCTTATTTTATTTCTAAAATTTGTAATTAAAATAAATAAAGTTTTATGTATATTGTGTTCTATGAAATGTGTGAAAATAGATAGCAAAAACGAATTAAAATGATTGTAATTTAAAATCAGCATGGTAAAGTTATTTTAAATTTTGCACAAATGCTAACATTATTTATTAAATAATTATTATTAAAAATGTTTTGATGCCCGATTACATTGGACAAAATCTGATGGTTTCTCTTACCCCACCCACATCAAATTAGATGTAAAATAAAACGTAACTGGTTCAATAAACAAAAAATATAGATTTCATATAGATTTTACATTTACTTATTTCAAGTTATTAAACACTACATGCATACATAGTTCTTTATTATCGGTTTTCAAGTAAGGAAAATTTGAAATAAGTGAAACTGTTCTAGAGATAAGGAAAACATAATTGTTGTTGTTGCTGTTGTTGTTGTTGTATAAAACCGATACAAAAGTTTAACTTTAATTGTCAACAATTCATAAACAAGATGGTAAACTTTTGTAATTTTTTTTTGTATTCATGTATAGAATATAGTAAAGTTTAATAATATAAAGTCTTAAACGCCTTTTGAAAACTGTGTAAATTATACATCTTTAAGTTTTATGTTATTAACCGACTGCGATTGGTCAATTAATACGAAACACGAAATCCAGTGAAAGAGGAAAATGCGTACAGATAGTTTATTCCAATGCAATCCGATAGCATAACAATATCTCCTGCCTTTAAACGATAAACAAGTGATGCTGATCCAGACTGATATCCAGCATTGACATCAGTACCACTGTTCACTGATAACTGGTCAATGCCGTTGACAGAAAAATCACATGCGCTTTCACGAAGACCCGGTTTTCTGAAAAGAGTTGCTGTGAAGAAGTAGAGTCCTGGATATCTGCAAGTGAACACACCTGAGGACAAACTATAGTCGTCGCCTGAATTGTATATTACCTGTTTGAACTTAAGGGCAGAACCGGAGGAATTGTCTGGGTCTGAGACTGCAAATCCGACTGACACGTCTGAAAAATGATATTAAAAAATTATAACAAGTCATTTTTACACAATTTCAAATGCTTTATCGTAGTTTCTGTGTAATGTGTTTTTGTGTTTTTGGGTTTTTTTATTGTTGTTTTTTTGTTGTTTGTTTGTTTTTTCTTCTTCTTCTTTTAATGTAATAGTTCATTTTTAATGCAAAAGTCTGCCATACAAGACAAAAATCTGATAACTACCTCTTTGCTTTTTATTTGAGTGCAACCGTGCTAGTTATACGCCCATTTATTTTATATAAAATGTCTGAAGTGTTTTTATAATATTGATGCAACTGATAGTAAAGATAATTTAGAGAAAATCTATGTAATTGTTAAAGTACGAATATTAATTGATACATTTAAAGAGCAGTGTACTTACTTGTTTCATTTAATCTCTTCGTAAAATTTTGGAGAAATTCTGTCTGAATCTGGCCCTGTGCGTGTTCAAGCTTATCAACTTTTTTGCTTAGAGTCGTCACCAGTTTCTGCAGTTGAAGCCTTGATCTTTGCTCGTTTACAATCAAGTTATACATATTTTGAATAACTTGATCAGTTGCTTGATGAGTTGATGAAGTTGCGTTCCCATTTTCAACTAGAAACCCTGACACAACTCCAAGAAATAGAAACACAAAAAGTACCACAAATTTCATTGTTAAGAAAACAGTTGTGTGTCAGTCAGCTTAAATACGTTTATAATAGTGAACATATTAAACTATATCAAACCATCATGTGTGTTTTAAATGGGTAAGAGTTATAAAACATTGGAAACCAAATTATTTATACCACATAAATAAGTCATCTTTTTTAAACTTTATAAATTTCAGCGTTGTTTCCGCTGATAAAGAAAAAACGTTTTACAAAATTAATAAAAAAATCTATGTAGTCAGCTTGTCCTGGTTCCAAAAGTATTTAATCTTAGCGTTTTATCACAAATTGTACAATAGTGATAAATCTCTAGGTGAGTTAACAGAAATACCTAAGAAAGCTAGTTGAGAATATTTCAAAATAATGTATCAATGTTTGTATTTATAAAAGTTATGGTTGTCAAACATATTTTCTAAACGTTTTACTACATAATTATATAATTATAACAACCGGAGTAATAGGCTAGGCGCCATAGGCCACATTTTGTAATTCATCTGTACATCTGACATTTGTTTTTACACTTTTTGAACACTTTAGTAAATTGCTAACTTGAATCGTGCCAGAAATAAAAGATGACATATTAAACAAAAAAAAACAACTTATTTTTGATTTTTGATATATCCTATATAAGATATTAAATATTATGTTAATTGTTGTAACAATAATTGATGAGAACGTATAAATTAACGAATACATGTCACGCTATTAATGTCAACTTTTGAAACGTTCTAATACCAGTGTGTACATGTAAGGGACCTTCGTGGTAAAGTGGTTAGAGTAGCAAATATTGAATCGCTCGCTTCTGACCCCTTAAGAAGTTTGTATAAGTATTTCATGGGAAGTAATTCAGCTAGCTTACAGAACGTCAGTGGTTCTAGTCAGATTTCATTTGTGAATGTAATAATACCCAGAGAGAAACTTCCTTCTCCTTCAAATCGAAGAGGTCTACATATTTTATTTCCAATATCAATATAATATAAGGCCCAGTAAAAATAAATACATAAACATAATAGTCGAAGATTAAATATTTTCATTTCAATTTTGTGACAAGTTTACATTTTTTTGTAAAAAGGTGGCAAGGTTAAAGAACAAATTAATAGACTTGAAAGGGCACAAACAGCCTCTATTAACGTATCCCGTCATTTCTGTGTATTATAATCTAAATTGGACTATTCAAACTTTTCATGTAATTCAGTTGAAGGATGGGATAAATGTCTATCATCTCATATTGTTACAAAGAATAAAGTTTTGAATTAACATTTTAGTCAATATTTACTTCTAATTTAATTTGTAAATTTTTTGACTATTTTTCTCCCAAACATATATGTTTAAACATTTTATCTACCTTAATATATACATCATTATTATCAATGTTCCTAATACTTGGATCTACTTTAGAAACAAATATTTTGAATGTGATTGATTGCTATAACGTGGCAATAGGATATAAAATATATAAACATCTAGACAACAACAGAATGTTATAGAGACCACAGTATCTGATCTTCATTTTCTGAAAAATAAATCGTGCTTAAATATACTTCAAATTGTTGAACCATATTAAGTAGTGATATCGGGCATTATAATATACAAACAATTAAACTCTAGGAGCATTTTAATATTCAGCTGTAGTAGCTAGACGGGGAAGTAATTTGTAATTGTTTTATTATTTGAAATATATATATATTTATCTTTCCATTTAAAAAATAAATAAATAAATAAACTTCAAACGTGAAACTTTTTAAAGACAGTTTTAATAATAAGGATTTGTTAATTCCTATGTTCGTGGTGCAAAACTGATATATCTCTTTTGTTGTATAATTTGTTGCACAAAGTATGCTTATTTCCATATAAAATTCTTTAAACGTATTAGAAAAAAAAAATCAAATTATATGTTAACCACATCGTAAGTCAAATGTTTACGTACAAAATTGAAATCTTTAAAAAGTGTCTTTTTTGCATTTTTCTCAAACATGGTTTTCTAGGTCTATGTACAGAATTCAAAAAGCTTCTTAATTTCTTATAGCGTATTTACTTTTCAATTAACACTATGTTTGTATTGTATAAATGTTACAAAAACGTAAAATCTGAAGGTTTTATACTAAAGTGGGTGCGATAAATTTATCTGAGAATTGTAATACAAAATAACAAAATTTGCAAAGGTAGGTAATATTGTTTTGCTTTTTTAAATTTTTATATGAATTCTTATGCAAATATTCACTGATTAAAAGTATTTTATTGTATTAAGGTTTTTTTTTGTTTTCCTTCATGTGTAGAGGGTGCGCTAAAATATCAATAAATATAGATACAATCATTTGTGTACATTCAGTTATAAAATTTGTTTTCATGATATAAATTGTTTCAATACTCTTTATATAAATTGTTAATTGCACAGAAAGAAGACTTAATATACGTCAACGAAACATACATTAGATAAGACCATGCATGTATATGAGTGAAATGTTGTCTATTTATGAATACAAATAATTCCTGCACAATCAATTCTTGCTTAAGGCTTGTAACAGTACGATTCAAAATTATATTTACTTTCATATCATTGTAATCAATTATAATTGAATAAGCACTGTCCATTTTTTCTTACTTTTGTAGGCATGATATTTTCAAAAGATACAAAAATTAAGGCGACTGATACATCATATAATCTATGTGTGGAATAATAGCTATCTATGATATCGATATCGCTTGACCCATATAACGTTGCTTATGATTTGAAATATAAACCAAATATATTCATGTTTTATTTTCCCCATTAAACAAAAGAGAATTGATAACCATAGATCACTCGCCTCAAGTCCACTGATGGAAAAGGGCTATAATTCTTCAATACTAAAGTACATTTACATCGTAAAATGAGTATCTTTTTTTCTCACCAAACACAGTCATGATTTATGAACTATCTGAAAAGAAACATGCCCAATAACTAGGCTCTCAGAACTTTTTCACACAACAAGACTCATATTTTACTACTATTTTCCAATAAGAATCTATGTAAACTTAGTGATTTTGGCCCTATGCCAATAGTTCATAATTTTTACATACATGTAGCATCACAAAGGGATGATTACAGTATTTCTTCTGCTCTGTGTACTGTAGTTTTGGAGAAGAATTTTAATACATAAGTCAATGTTAACTCTGGAATATCCTAGGTTAAGCCATTTTGTACTGCATGAGCATGATTTTAAGGCCCGTCACAAGGGGCACAGTTTTTAAAGACTTGTGTATGGAATCACATTGAAGTCCTTCTTTTGAAAACTACAATGCCTAGAGCTTAGTTAATCAACATATAACCTTGCCAAGTAGAGTAGACCTCTTTTATAAGTTACATAAAACGCTTTTAGGTCATTTAGTCTATAAGCAAAATATTTAGTAAAATCTTCTCGAAAAGCAAAATGCACTGAGCTCAGGTAATAAGCATGTGGGCATCACTTTGTGTCTTTATTTGCATATTTGAAGTATGCTTATAGAGCCACCTGGATTTATAGACTTATATAGGAAAACACATTAAAATTTCTAATGTTAAAGTATAATGACTAGAACTTAGATATTTGAGATGTAGCATGATATAACATGCATAAATTTGTATATTTCTTCTGCAGTCTAAAATGTTTTTGCAATGAGTATCACTTAAGTTACACAAACTACGGTTACCGTAATAAATCTGTTTTCTCTAAACCTACAGTACCTGAAGCATAGACATTAATCATGTGTCATCGTAATGTTGTTATATTCTACAAATATTTGATAAATAATGGGACAAGATGGTCAAATTTTACCAAGCATGAGGGGTTTCTTAGTTTATATGGACTCATATATGAATATGGTTATTTAAGTCCTCCCGTGTGAAACAATTTTTAGAAACAAGATATTGGACATCTTTCTTTTAAAGTAAACCGTATTCAAATATTTCACAAATCATGTGTGTTATGACATAATTGACACGCCCAATATGATCTTATTACCTACACCTTTATTACGGTATTGTGACTTTTTCCAACAAAGATCTAAGGTGAGTGATCCAAGGTCATCATTATTGAAAGAAAAAAATGAGATGAATACACTTGCTTTATATCTTAACTTATTAACTTATCAGAAAACTGGCTAGGCGATATCATTGACATCTCTATTTCACTTCACATAGACAAGGTGATGTGGTAGCCATATATTTTTACTATGAATGTTCAGATATTGAATAAAAATCGTTATCTCATTTTGTTGGCTTTTAAGCCATGTTAATATTATAAATATAAAATTGTGGAGGAGATAATTAACTACCCTTTTACCTTACATTCATGTTCATGTTTGCTATTTAAAGCACATTAAGTTGATTTAATATCTTCTTATACAATGTATATCTTTTCAATAAACAATATAATATCAAAGATATTGAAACAAGAAATATAATGCAGCCAAATCAAATAACTTAATGTATACATGTGCATTATATATATGTGCATTTCTTACTAATACATTTGACCCGCAGAAAGACAGTAATACCATCACCCAATTTAAGGTAATTAAAGATGGAACATTTGTATAAGAATTCATAGAAAAGTGAAAAAAGCGAAGAAAAAGTATGAACCTACCTATGTATATTTTCTGTTGTTTTTTATTACAATAGTGGGATAAAATTACCCCCTTCACTTTCACAAAATATAATATCCACAAGGTTTTCTTACATTTTTGCAATAAACACATGATGCGATTTAATGCCAAATACAGTTTAAGAAAAATGTAACTTTTTTTAATTTTGTACATAAATTTAGAAAACCAAATTTGAGAAATATGCAAAAATGCTTGATATATTTAAAGATATTTTTTAGACAAAAACTTTCAAAAATGTTTACTTTCATTAAGATTAACATATAATTTGATTATCTCTGATATGTTTAAACACCCTTTTATCATAATAATCATAAATGGTGCGACAAATTATACTATGAAAACGATATAACAGTTTTGCACGAAATTGGCGGTCATATTGGACGCAACCTTGGATTCCGAAGAGATATGAAGGCGAACTTTTTAAAAAAAAAAAATTTTAAAAGGAGAAACTATATACATGACTT